GCTTTTCAACTATTCACCACGTTTCAACTTACTCATTTACCCCACCATTCAACCACTCACCTAACTAATTAGTTGTGGTCATATTTCTATACATATAGTTAGGTAATCCTATTTGTCAAGTCAAGAAGATGATTTGTTATCTATAACTTCAGACTCTGTTGGAGTGGGAAGTAATAACTATGATTATACTCATAACCAACCATTTCCCTACCCTTCATATCTCATTCCTTTTGGGAAGGAATCGAGCAGCTCATGGAAAGAATTTGAGACTCAATCTTTAAATGATTTTGGTCATGGACAACGTCAACCAATCTCGGATCCATATGGGTGGTATGTTAACAATTACATGCAAAACTATTTTGGGGATTTATCATTTGATGACTACTCTTTACAATACACTTACTCTACACATATAGATGATGAAGATAGTGAACAATTTGAACCTCATAGGAACTCTATGTGGTACTAAGTCACTTATTTATCTTACCATGCAATATAGTAAATCATTATATATAAATGATTATGGTGTGTTTAATCTTCTTTCATTAATTACTACATATTTTCTACACTCACATTGTTTGTCAGCTCGCTATATAATCAACTTAAATTAGTTAAATCCATCATGCAATGCATTTCCTTCCAATTTTTTGTGATAAACTAATAGATAATTGACTAAATAAGCTTCCTCCAAAGTTTCAATAAAAATTTCCAAGTCTTTCTTACAATTTCCGTAGTTTTTATTCAATTTTTATCGATATCAATAATATCCTGATATTTTCATCAAAATTTTCGTATTTTTGGACTACCGATATGTTCGATATCGCCGATATTTTAGATCTTGTGCATGAGTCATTCTGACTAAAGAATCAACCTCAAAATTGGAAGAGTGAATGGTTCAACTTCAACGTGTGATTTGGGCATGGCTTTAATGAAAAGAACAAAAGGAGCAGCCTCCACAGTGCTATGACCAACATTACTTGAACTTGATTGATGATGCTATACATTCGCAAAAAAATAAAACAATAATAAAAAAAAAAGATTGATGATGAATGCTATAGCTAATTCTACGATGCTTAACTGTTATTTTTAAGTAGAGCAATGGAGGCCTTAGCAATCTCAAATGCAGATGGCAAACGACGAGTAGAAGTGTCGACTTTTCACGGTCTCCCTTTGGTCTTCAACTTCTTTTTTGGTTAAGTAAGCACAGTAGAACCAGGTTCATTAGCTCCTTCAGTGTCATGTGGACTTATTTCTTCTTCTCATCATCTTGTTGTTCATACCACATATTGAATCTTTGTAGTTGTGACCTTCCTGGTGAAGTTGTGCCATGACTTCTGTTTCCTATATTGATGAGATCTAATTTCCTCCAATGTGAATGCACGACATCAAGTAGTACTAGTACACCATGCTCTCTATACTCTGCAATTTCATGTGCACATGGTAATTGGTGGTTCAACGAATAACACAACCACATGATAAAGCATCCACCCCATCTGTCTCTAACCTGATTGCAAAAAAATTATAATGTTAACTCTGTAAACCATATATGTACATGCAATAAGTAAACTGAATTTACCTTTATGACTCGCACACAATTACATTCAAAGCCTTTATAGAAACAAAACCTACTAACTCTCTAAACTCCGGATGCCTGAACCTATGTTGAATAAAACATCGACTCTTTTCAAAAGATGCCTTAATCTCTGTGTGCTCCAGCTCTAACAATGAGTGTATAGTTACCCATGATCTCTCAAAGTTAAGTTAGCTTTAGCGAAGCTGTCGCTTCAACTTTGCATGTGCACTTTCCGCTCTGTTGATAACAATAATAAATTTTCCTGAAGCAAAATAAATTTTCAAATTAATATATCAAAAGTTGACTAAAATTCTTATCTATTTGAGGTCGTCGATCTAAGATGCATACAAGTATTTGTCCATGCGGCTACAAACCTATCCTTAAATGGATTTAACCAATTTTCATGAATGTATTCAAGAGCTTTTTGAAATTCACTGAACTTAGACTCAATCTGTCGCAAACAATGCCAATATTCCTCCTCTGTTTCTGAACCAACCAAAGTATTTTAATCCTCATTAAATTGCTTCCATTGTTTGAGGGTCCCAAATAACTTCTTGCAGTTTGCCAATACTCTTTTGTTAATATGACATCTACATAATAAATGTCGTGCTTTCAGAAATATAAACGTAATAGAATTCATGAGTGCTAACTCTCAATCGATGACAATAACACCAGGAAGACAATTATCATCCAACAAACTCCTCAATGCAGTCAATGCCCATGTGTAATTGTCTTCCTTCTCGGCATTTATATACACATACGCAACAAAGAATGTCATATTAGTAGATGTCACCCCCACAATTTGCAATAGTGGGAAACGATACCTATTAGTCTTATAGGTGCAATCCATGATAAGTACATGTGGAAATGCACGCAAAATATTAATATTAATGGGGTGTGTCCAAAATAGGTCAGTTACAATATCACCAGATGTCCTATGCCACTCAATATAATTGTGTTCGGATAACTTAGTAAGCAATTGTTGCATTTGGGTTCTCCCAACAAATTCTTTGGTTATATTTCGAATCCTAGTATTGTATATTGTCTTCATAGTTGAAACATTCATTGCATCTCTATATTTAATGATGACCAAAATATCTCTGGGTTCACCAAACTCTTAGACATGTCCACCAACAAGGCATTCTCCTCTTCAGTAAGTCGCCCCACAAATGAATGACCTTGAAGATACTCTGAAATAGGATGGTTGTGTACTCCACAAACCACCTCCAACTTCCAATCATCCCCATCACCAATATCAACACCTTTTAACAAGAATGTGCATCCACATTTCTTGGTACCAGGGTCCCTAGCACATTTTTTCATATCACTATTTGCATCAGACCTTATATTGTTGTCTTATAGTTACCGTTCCTCTCACAAGCAAGTATTACACGAGGTCTCCTCTTACCCTCACCTCCATAATCAGACCTTTTAATTACAATGACAATATTATTCAATTTTCCTTGTTCACGAGCCCATCGAAGTAATGCATCTCTACAATTGAATATCTACACATAAAACTCATATTATTTAAATATAAAATTTGAAACATTAATGCCACGTTAATGATACTAAAAAGGATTTCAGACAAATAATTACCGAATAAGTTGTGAATTGATCACTATAGTCCATTACACATTCTGTTCCCACATTGTTGCCTTCAGTAGGGGCGTCACCTTGATTTTCTTTCTTCAATGGGAGTAAGATCAAAAATAGCTTGGATTAAATTTGTGGTTGGCAATAAGTTACTGAAAAAATAAATAAATTTCGGTTGGATGCCACTGAAACGCAGGTAAAATTTTGGTAGTAAACCACTGAACTACGTTTCATCTTACGGTGGATCTCCACCGAATATTATGTTGCTGACCGGTCAAAACCAACCAAAAACGGTGCAACTTTTCAGTGGCATCCCACCAAATTTACCTGTCGCGTTCGGTACTGATGTGCTGAACGCAACCAGCGACCGTTACGAAATACTAAACTTACAAAACGCCAAAAAATAAACTCGTCCCTCATTCGAAGCCTCTCTAACTTCAATCTCACCCTTCATAAATAAATACAAGATATTTTTTCACTAGTATAAACTTATAAATCTAGAGTTTAGGGTTTAGGAACATGATAGTTTGATAAAAAAGTCAAACTAGGGTTGCAGGAATATATGTGGGGTATAGTGAGCATTTTAATTTTAATTTTAAATTTTTTTGTCCTTAACGGTAATTGTGTACAAGGATAAAATAAGTTATTTATATTTAAAATTAATATAGGGTGTAAAGAACAAATAATGAGGTGCCAATAAAATCTCCCTTATTATTATTAGTGGAATTTTTGTAATCAGCAGAGCATCTTTTATGTTTGTTTTTATTCTTCTTCTTATAATTTGATTACTTAAGGAAGTTTTGGTCAATTGATGTGACGGGGCATTAGTTAGGGAAATTGCATACTAATATTAATATATTATGAGTGGTGATTTTCCCACTCTTTTTTCTCTTAAAAAATGAATGTAAGTGGATAAAATAAGAGTGAGGAAATCTTGCCCTATATTATTATTATGTTAAGGGAAAAGAAAAAGAAAAAAGAAAAGAAAACGTCCAATCCAATGGAACGTATGGATACATGCAAATGCGAAGTTGGACCGAAAAAACCGTCGACATGAGTAGTCAAGAGTAGAGTGTCCACATCCGTTAGAACTTGGAACTGTGCTGTGGAAGTCACGTGGAGACCTATTAAACTTAAGATTTTGGAACACACGAAGACTCACTCTGCAAAATCACAATTGAATAGAAAATTTACAGATTAAATTAAAGGGGAAGAGGGACGGGAAGGGAAGGCCTTCTTCTTCGACTTTTCTCTCCGACTCGAAGTTAAGACTCAAGAAGAGGTTTAGACTCAACAAGAGATGTCTCTTCTTCTTCTTGTTTTCCTCGACTTGTGTTAGTGGTGTTGTTTTAATGGATCATCCAACGCAACCAGACTCGCCGCCGGTGGCTTGAGTATGAGGTTTTTGTCGTCGTCGATTCTGCCACCAATGGTCGTCTCAATCACTCTTGCACTGTGAACGGCTCTATTATTAGTGCAGATACAGACAACAATAATAAGGTTTTACTTTATTATATACGGCATATCATATCCTCACACCAATCGC